TGAGCTCTCGTGCCCAGTAATGGACTAGATTTCAGTATTTCCCCCACAACTTTTAGAATCACAGCAGCACAAAATGGAAGACTAACTAAAGATGTGGAAACTCACTAGCTCTTCCTAGTTGCCTAGGAGTTACTTATATTGAAAATGAATTATTTCAAAGAAATAATAAGCAAAAGTTTTATTTTGGTGTGTTTAAAGGCATCAAATGTTGTTTTGATGTTTGTGCAGTGTAGAAGTGAACCCCACAAAGTTATCCACCCAAGAGGGCAGAGACATGTAAACTGACACAGGTAGATATAAAAGGAAGTGAAAGAAGAAGGAACCTCCCTTTTTCTCCTGGAAGCCAGCGAAGCTTCTAACTCCTGGTCTGTGCGACTCTCTCTCTCTCTCTCTCTCTCTCTCTCTCTCTCTCTCTCTCTCTCTCTCTCTCTCTCTCTCTCTCTCTCTCTCTCTCTCTCTCTGGTAAATAAATATATTGTTTTCCATATATAGCATCGAATATCGTTATAGTGTAGTATGTGGAATCTGACAGTCTTGCAGGCTTATTTCAAACATATCTTCTACTTTCTATGCCTTTTCCGTAATTTTAATTTAAAATTGACCTCTGAGGAATAGAAAAGTTGTCCCTTGAAGTTACAAGTGCAGGTAAAGTTTCATTATATGTTTGCTTTCTTTTCCATTCCCACCGCAAAATCATGCAAGTCACCTGCCAACAACACTTCCCCTGGAAGTTATTATATAGATTTGGAAGCACTGTGAGTGTGAAATCTGACAATATTTTTTCAACCTCCAGGGCCACACATCTTTGTAATCTAAGTAATAACACATGGAAGAATTTTTCCTGAGCCAAAAGAGAAATGAAAAAAAAAGTGTAACAGAGAGGAAGGTTATTTGTTTTACACTTAACTTCTTCATGCAAGATGTTAACTTGCTTATAATGGAACCAAGGGGCCAGTTTAGTACTTCAGATTTGATTTGTTTGGTCAAAGTAGCATTTAAAACCTTTTCAGTTGGAGAGGCTCACAGTGGGCATACACTCTGCACTTTACACTTTCTCCATATCTTTCTCCATTATTTTGCGCTTCACAGTCCCTTGTCTATATTCCTTGTCTCCTTAGGTTTTGAGCATTAGAAATACTGCTTTAGTCCACATTTTGCCACGCTGAGTGTCCACAGGAGCACAAGTAACTCCTAGACGGTAAACCTGCTTCAATGTAGACAGCTACCAATGAACACTGGGAAGAAGAAAAGCTTTGAACATGCACTGGAATCTCCAGTGTGTAAAAGTCTTCTCGTAGTACAAACAACAGTTGATATGAACAACAGATCAGGAGATTCCAAAGATTCTTTGTCTACAGATTTCTACAATTGAAAAAAGATATGTAAGAGCTTAGATCGGGGTATCTGGTGAATATTATTTTGCGTTCTCGAAGTATTCCCCACAGGTTAGACTGTAGCTTCATACTGTTATCTTTCTCTTAAAAAAAAAGAAAACTAGCTCAACAGAAAGGTTGGAAACATAAGTACTGTACCAGTTGGATAATGCAACTGGCTAGCTGCACCCCAGAACACCGCATACTAAGGTAGGCAGTTGCTGACAGTACAATTTTCCAACTGTCTTCTTTGGGACCTAGCCAGCTGGTACTGGCCAATTACACAGGAAGGATGGGGGCTCCAAATCAGCAGTCCCATATCTCTCTTTCTGAAGATAAGAACTGTAGTGAAAGATGTGTGCATCCATGCTGTTTAGGGAAATGTCTTCAGGGCTTCCACAGCCAAGCTATGTTCTTTGTCTTGGAAATCTACTTCATCACAGTTAGAATTTGGTTGTCCCTTTGAACACTGCTTGATGTGCATCAGAATCAGGAGTCATCTTTGTAATGAAGATGCTTAGCTCAGAGAGTTTCTCTAGGATGTTAAATTAAAATACGTGAGAAAATTTCCACCTTGTGGGTACATAGGGTCAAAATTAACAAATTTGTACATAATAGTTTCTTATATAACCAGAGAAGATGGCAAATTTGTTCCCAGTTTGGTCCCGGGAAAACTGAACATTGAGCTTAGAACACCATGTTAACACACTTCAAAAGGATATAACTTGGATTTACCCATATTAGGGTTTTTTTTTCAGTTTAAATTTAGATTAGAAACAAGGATGCTTCACAAGTCAGTTCCAGGTCCCTCGCCCTTTTCCTCCCCTCCTCCCATGCCCTCTCCCCAACCCCCCCCCATTATCCCCTCATTTCTCCAGGGAGGGTGAGGCCCTCCATGGGGGTGTCTATAGTCTGTCATTTCATACAGGGCAGGGCCTAGACCCTCCCCCAAGAGTTCAGGGTGAGAGTACACCTCACATTGTTGGATGGGAGTCCAAAGTCCATGTGTATACTCGGGATGAGTACTGATCTACTGCCCAAGGCTCAATAGATTACCTCGGCCTCCTCACTGACACCCATATTCAGGGGGGTCTTGATCAGTCCCATGCTGGATTCCCAGGCTGATGCCTGGGATTCAAGAATTAACCTTTGTCAGGTCAGCTGTTTCTGGGGGTTAAACCAGACCAGTCTTAATCCCTTTGGTCATCAGTCCTCCCTCTCTGTTACTGGCTTTCTTGAGTTCAGCTCAGTTCTTAACAGAGGGAGTCTGCCTCTTCTTCAATCAGCCACTGAATAAAGTTTCTGTTTCCCAGACTCTCTGGCCATGGAATTGTAGGCTGGCACTCTCCAGATCTATGTCTCAAATCCATATATGAGAGAGTACATGCCATGTTTCTCTTTTTGTGACTGGGTTACCTCACTCAGGATGGTTTCTTCTAGTGTCATCCATTTGCCTGCAAATATCAGGATTCCATTGTTTTTTTTTCTGCTGAATAGTACTCCATTGTGTAAATGTACCACAATTTCTTTATCCACTCTTCGATTGAGGGACATCTAGGTTGCTTCCAAGTTCTGGCTATTACAAATAATGCTACTATGAACATAGTGGAACAGACATCCTTGTTGTATGAATGGGCATCTTTTGGATATATGCCTAAGAGTGGAGTTGCTGGGTCTTGTGGTAGGTTTATTCCCATTTTTCTGAGGAATCTCCATACTGATTTCCAAAGTGGCTGAACCAGTTGGCACTCCCACCAGCAATGGAGGAGTGTTCCCCTTTCACCACATCCTCTCCAGCATAAATTGTCATTGATTTTTTTGATTTTAGCCATTCTGACAGGAATGAGATGGTATCTCAGAGTTGTTTTGATTTGCATTTCCTGGATGGCTAAGGATTTTGAGCACTTTCTCAAGTGCCTCTCAGCCATTTTAGACTCCTCTATTGAAAATTCTCTATTTAGTTCTGCAGCCCACTTTTTAATTGGATCCTTTTGTTTTTTGGAGACTTGCTTCTTGAGTTCTTTGTATATTTTGGAGATCAACCCTCTCTCAGATGTGGGATTAGTGAATATTTTTTCCCATTCTGTGGGCTGCCTTTTTGTCTTGCTGACTGTGTCCTTTGCCTTACAGAGGCTTCTCAGTTTCAGTAGGCCCCATTTATTAATTGTTGATCTCACTGTCTGTGCTACTGGTGTTATGTTCAGGAAGCTGTCTCCTGTACAAATTTGTTCAAGGGTACCACCCACTTTCTCTTCTAAGAGGTTCAGTGTGGCTGGATTTATGTTGAGGTCTTTGATCCTTTTGGACTTAAGTTTTGTGCATGGCGATAAACATAGATCGATCCGCATTCTTCTACATGCCAGCCTCCAGTTATGCCAGCACCATTTTTTGAAGATGCTTTCTTTATTCCATTGTATAGTTTTAGCTTCTTTGTCAAAGATCAGATGTTCATACGTGTGTGGGTTAATATCCGGGTTTTCAATTCGATTCCATTGGTCTACCTGTCTATTTTTGTGCCAATACCAAGCTGTTTTCAGGACTATAGCTCTATAATAGAGCTTGAGGTTAGGGATGGTGATGCCTCTGGACATTGTCTTATTGAACAGGGTTGTTTTGGCTATCCTGGGTCTTTTGTTTATCCATACAAAATTGATTATTGTTCTTTCTAGGTTTGTGAAGAATTGTGCTGGGATTTTAATAGTGATTGCATTGAATCTGTAGATTGCTTATTGTTTTACACTCTATAGTTCAAGACTTCAAACTCTCGGCAGTTCTTCTTCACTCTATAGGATATTTGGATCAGAGGTGTGAGCTACCTTGCCTGGATCACTAATGCAGTTTTACAACTTTATGGTTTTATAGTTAGCTAAGTATAAAGCACATTATAAAACTTGGGAAAACTAAACTTTGATTCACATAACTCTACTGTGGATATTAGCAGACACTGAGTGTATTTTATTTTTTGGTTTTTCAAGACATGTCCTTGGCTGTCATAGAACTCAAAGATGTGGCTGTCTCTGCCTTCAGAGAGCTGGGATTAAAGGCATGTGCCACCACCACCTGGCTTGAGTGCATTTTATTTTAACATCCTACTTTTGTGTACCACACTAAATGACAGAACTAGTTCAGAACCATGATCATCCATGGTAAATACACAATGATATATATATATATATTATATATATAGTATATATAACATATACTATGATATATAACATATATATATAGTCCATATCAAACTGAGAAGCAAATCAGCATGTGAATTTTAAAGTTAGTATGTCTTAAAGAGTTAAGTTTACTACAGAATGTTTACCAATTTAATCACATTGTTCAACATCAAAATTTTATTCCTAAAGTATGAACAATGTAAAGCTAAAACTTACAAGAACATTCAGATTCAGAAGTTTCAAAGTACAGTATCAATTCAACAACAGATTTGTCTTTTGTATTATGTATTATCTAGCACCATGACTTTCTTTGTTAAAAAAACCAACAAAATAAATGAAATGCGCAGTTATTTATTTTTTGGTGATTTTCACAGGTGATCCTTTGACGTTGAGCTTGTCCACAAAATTGTTTGCTCTTCTTCCATTCTAAATGGCTGGCCTTCGATGAATTTTCTCTCTCTTTTTGAGTTCTCGTGACACTGGATTATCATGACCCACACTTCGCATTCTAGTATTTTCTAGATTGTATGGTCATCCACTAGGCTTGTACGTCAAAACTTCATTTTGCCACTCATCATCAAAAGCATGAGCATCACTTTCATTCATATTGATGAACTCTTGATTGACCTCTTCATTTCCAGTCTTGTTGTTCTTGGACTTTCTAATGACATGAGCTCTGTCATGGATAGGATGATCAACAGCCATTTTCTCTAGACCACTGTCAGAATCTCTCATTGCTCTTATGGTTTCTTTTATTCCTCCTGGAGCCCTACGGGTTTGAGTTGAGGCCTGGAAAACCTTCGGTGGTTCATCTCCTACTTTGGAATAGGTCATAACAGAGGGAGAACAAAATGAATGCCCATTTGGATCCATTGAAAGGTGACCAAAGTTTCTTTGTAACTCCTGCATACCATTTCGCATATTTAACATCATCTGATCCATTGCCTGAAAAGGGTTGACATCTGTATGAGTTAAGGAATCTTCTCCATCATCATGTTCTCTATGATTATGGGTTCTTCCTCTACCATCAGAGATACTGAGCAAGTCTCTTCCAAAAGGTTCAGAGAAACTTCTCATCATGTGGCGCAGACTTTCTCGGTGTGCAAGAAAGGAATCAGCGAAGAAGGGGTCGTCCTCGAAGCTGCTGCTCAGCATCCCATCTGGAACATCGTGGCTGCGCGGCGGGCGCGGGGTGGAAATGGGCACAGCTCACCGCGCCGCCACCAGCCTGCTCTCCACTCGCTTCACACGGTCTACCCGCGGCAAAAGCCGCGCCCGCCCATATTAGGGTTTAATTCCCACAATTCGTGTACCACGCAGCTTAATTTATTTTCACCAGAAAATGTGTATGGCATTTGGAATATTTTCCTAATTCATATTATTTATATTTTAAATGCTTCCATTAATCTTAAATGAACTATATTATTATTTCAAATACAAAGCAAAAACTGTATTCACTTTCTGTATAACTATAGGTCCTATACTTTTAACTAATTTTCCAATTTAATACTACACACAAATGGAATAAGAACTTGATTCTATCCAAACTGCAAAATGGATTCCTTGATGTTACCAGTGAAGTAAGGTTAAAGAATTCCTATTTGGATGTATTCTTACTTAAGAAAGAGGATTTGTTGGAAGAATAACAACCTCTTTACTCAATGTATATATGTATGAGTACTTTTGTAATCACTTTCTTCTGTATAGTTTTGAGATAGTGCTTTCACTTGACTGAGATTTTGTCAGATTTTCTAGAATGTTCAGCAAGCAAACCCTAACGAACTTTTTGTCTCTGCCTCTGAGAGCTGGCAATATGAATATGTACTACGTCATGTTTTTATTGTGGCTATTGTGTGATTTTGATGTTTTGTTTCTGCAGTTTCTGAGTATATAAAATAGGATCTTTCTGCTTGTGGTTCAATCACTTTACCAAACAAACTATCTCCCCAAGTCACAATGATTATTATTTTCTGTATTTCTCTAAGCATCCCATGTTCTTTCAACTAGCGATAGGATATTGTGTGTCATATGAAGAGGCTGGGAGACAAAAATTTTAAATCACAATTCAAATACTTAGTTAGGGTAAACTAAGAATTAGATAAACATATCAACTCTAAAAATAGTTTATATAATCAAAAATACTATTTTCATAGTCATCAAACTTATAGGTGATAGATTTTTTTTGTATCTATGGTCCTATATTACTACTAATTGAATAAGTACATTCTTTTTTTGCCTAGATTGTACCCAATTGCTTTATATAGTAAAAGATAAAATGTATACTTTGAAAAGTACTGCTATAAATGTGTTTGTAAATAAATTTGTATTATTTTTCTATTTTTTTGTTAGGCTAAATTTTTTTATCAGCATGCAATGTAGATTCAGCCAAGTATCAAGTCTAATTTCTGTAAGGCTGAGAGTAGGCATTCAGGATGATTGCTATCTCATTCAATGAAACCAGGTCTTTTTGCTTATACGTTTCCCTTTCTGGTACTATAGAAAATAATGCTGTTTGGTTGTTTATGTAAATGTAGGTGACAAGAAAATCCAATCAGTTCCTTGTTTTTCTCTTGGCTATGAAAATTTTATTATGCAAAACATATGCTATTCCAATTTGGTTCTGAAATTTCATCAACCTGAAATGCAGCCTCAGAAAATAGAATTGAATGTCATCATGTTTCAGGCAGACTAGTCTTTCTGTGTCTATTTCCTGAGAACTGACACCATTAATATATGAAAGATGCATCTTATGAAATTCTAGACAGCTTATAAGACCATGGTTATTGTAGTCTGATGGAAGGATATTGGAATTCCAGTTTAGCAACTATCTACCTGTTTGATATCAGACAAATCAGTTACAACTTCTTTCTGTTTAAATTTTTGTCTACAAAAGTGCCTTGGAGATTGCGAAGAGTACTGAGGATAGATGTACTAAATTAGCAACCTGGCTCTCAGTTTACATAGACTATACCTAAATTTGGGCTTTTTGTTATTTATAATGACAATGTATCAAATAAGACACATGGACTCTGATTCTGTTATGAGAACATAAACCTGTAAATTGAATTTTTAAAAAGCATAAAGCAACTAATAACCATTTTTATCAATTATATTTGCAAGTATCTTCTAACCTAAGCACAATAGGTGTGTTGTTAAATTATGACCCTGATTTGTAGTAGGTAAAGTTGAAATAACTGACTCATGAAACATCAAACAGGAACTCTTAGGCTGTTCTATTTCTCACTCTTTACTTTCAGTAATAAAAAAAATAACAAACATAAGTAGAAGTATAAATAAATAAATAACACTTCATCTTTGAACATACAGAAATAACTTTTCAACCAATAAGTAGTAGCACTAAGAGAAAACGCATTCTGTGCCCAATTTAACTTCATGAAAGGATGAAGTGTATTTGTTTACTCTTTTGAATAGACTGACAAACCTTTCTTATTTATGCTTTCATATATGAATATTAGTATATCTATCATTATTTCTTAGAGTCTATTAATAGAATGACTGCTCTTAGCACAATGTTTTAAAGAAATGAACTACATGCATTAATACAAAGTGTGTTGAAAACATGTATTTTTGAAAGAATAATCACAAAATTAATGTCTGTTATACCTGTAAGCTGAATGAAGTACATTAGGATTTATTAAAATAAATCCATAGTACATGTATATTCTTGAGACTATGTAAATTAAAGTTCTTAATTTTCAGTAATTATGCAGAGTTGGGAAGATTTCACTTCCATTATTTTTTATAATAATTTTTATTTAACTTTTTACACATGTTACTTTCAGTTCACTCTCCCCTCCTCCCCTGATCTTCCAATTCTCCCAAGCCCCCACCCCCCACCATCCCCCTCTGCTCCCCAGGGAGGGCAAGGGCTTCCATGAGGGATTTTCAGAGTCTGTAATACTATCCCAGGCAGGGCCTACGTCCTCCCTCATGTGTCGAGGCTGAGAAAGCATCCCTCCATGTGGAATGGGCTCCCAGATTCTATTTGTATGCCAGGAATAAATACTGATCTACTCTTCAAGATCCCATAGATTACCTAGGCCTCTTCTCTGACACTCAGGTTGGGGAGGGTGTCTGGATCATTCCCATGCTGGGCTCTCAGTCATCAGTCTGGGGTCCATTCGTTCCCCCTTGTTTAGGTCAGCTGCCACTGTGGGTTTCGCCAGCCTGGTCTTGATTCCTTTGCTCATCACCCTTCTTTGCAACTGGGTTCCAGGAGTTCAGTTTGGTTTTCAGCTGTGGATGTCTGCCTCTGCTTCTGTCAGCCACTGGATGAGGGTTCTAGGATGGCATATAAGGTAGTCCATTCTTAAAACCTAATATCAATAACTTACATTTGGCCTACTTAATTTGATGCCATAATGCACAATCACATTTTGAAATCTAGAAAACAAGGCAAATCCAGAGTTGCAGTCAAGAATATTCTAGTTGGAGCAGCAGAACACCTCATAAGCTATTAAGAACAATGTGATAGGAACAATTTGAAAAGCAAACTTGTCTATGTGGATTTTTAAATGTACATTCTGTTGTATAAGTTACAGCACAAATGTGTAGAAGCTTTCTCATCTGACATTCCTGGACCACCATCCTGTAAATAAAGACATAGAGACTTACTATTCATTATGAAACCTTGGCCTTAGTGTAGGCTTTTTCCAAACTAGCTCTTACAACTCAAATTAACCTGCTTCTATTAATGTATATTCTGCCACATGGTTTGGTTTTCTCTCCTCTTCACCAAATAGCTGACTTTTTCAACATCTCATTGGCACTTCTGTCTCCCTTCTTCCCATAGTGCTTTCTGACTCTTGCCACAAATCTCACCTGTTCTCTCTTTCCCAGCTATAGGCCATTTGTTTCATTATTAAACCAATCAGAATGTGCTTTAGGATAGGACATATCTTTACAGTGTAAACTAATATTCTGCAACAGAAAAGTAAAGCAATAGTCCGCTAAAGGCTCACATACAATTTGAAGAGTGCTTCACGATTTTCTAATACTACACCTCAACAGTAAGAACCAAGCTCAGATAAATATAACAGTACATATTAGCTTAAAAACAACAGCAACAGACAACAAAATCTTCAAGATAGAAAAATCTTTCTGATTAGTTTTCAGGGAAATGAAACACAAGGAGAAATAAGGACAAAAAGAAGAAGTAACACGAGGAAAGGGAGGAAAAAATACTCCTAAAAATACTATATAACAGAATTAGAACCTTCAAGAAATTTAATTCATAAATATGTAAATTTTATATAGGTGTTTTTGTGGAATTTCCTTGTTCCTTGCTATTTTTGTTGCTTTTTAAAGATTGAAAAATAGAGAGGAAGAACATAAAATTGGGTAGGTAGGATACTGAAGATGATATAGAAGGAATTAGGGGAAGGGAAAAAGATCACAATATATTATGTGATTATATAAATTATATAAATTTGTACTTGGATTGCTAGAAAGACAAGAGAATGAAGTAAAAAAAGACTTTCCAATTGTTGACAGAAAACAAGCAATGTATTTTTCAGAATCTCAGGCAACACAAAAGAGGATAAATTATTTAAAAATCAAAAGGTAGAAAGAATAGTCATTTTTTTGGTTTTTATGAGACAGGGTTTCTCTGTATTGTTTTGGAGGCTTATCAGTCCAGCCTGGCCTCGAACTCACAGAGATCTGCCTGCCTCTGCCTCCCGAGTGCTGGGATTAAAGGCGTGTGCCACCACCGCCTGGCCAAGAATAGTCATTTTAAATTTTCAGTTTTTCCAGATTTTTTGGATCCAGAGATTTTTGGTTTCAACAGAGGAAAAGTCATATATGAGTAAAGATAAGACTTATATAGGAGCAAGTGTATGAGTGAAAAATCAAAAGCCTTGTCTTGCAGGGCACCACCTTGGACATGAGTAGTAGTGTTGAGATTCACAAAAATATCTGCTCATCCTTCACACATTGTTCTTTATCTTTCTGGGAATTTGTAGGGACAATTGAGAATAGATGAGATTTTAGACCAAATCAAGGTGGTGATTTTGAGACAGATGCATGCTTTATACCACAATTAAAATGAAGTTAACCATTGCACTGTGTTAAACTTGAGGATTAAGAGTCCCAAACATCACACTGGGAACACTCCTGAAGAACACAGCTAAATA